AACAAAAAAATTTAATAAAAACATTAAAAAAAAATTGAAAAAAAAACGTCAAAAAAATTAGATAAAATTATTCAAACAAAAAATCAAAAGAAATATTAGTAAATGTATTCAAACAAAACATCAAAAAAAATCTGAAAAAGTTATATGAACAAAATATCAAAAAATTTAAGCGAAAAATGTAAAAAAAAAAAGAATATATTCAAACAAAATATTAAAAAAAAAATTCTAAATCACAGAAATATAAATAAATTAAATAATAGACAGTTACATAAATGGTCCCTATGAGCGAAGCAATTTACATAAATGATCCCTATGGTAAGAAGGGCAAATGTATCATTTCATAAGGAACTTAATTGAAAAGTTAACACTGCTAGCCTAAAAGATTGTCATTGCAAAATTTTGAAACCATAAGGACCATCTATGCACACAATTTCTCATAAGGACCAGAGTTGGTAAACTGTATCAACCACAAGGACCATTTATGTAATTTTGTCTTTAAGAAAACAATCAAAGCATGCGGTTGATATAAATATAGGATGTACTTCACTAGAAAGATAGATGGAGCATATAAATCTCACTAGAAATATCAGGATGGAGCATTAAGATTTTTCAGTTTACTCTTTATTTTTGTATGTAAAGTTACTACATAGTACATACGTTTATTTAAGTAAAATGATGAACTAACTAACAAAAATATTTTGCCCAAAGGCACTGCGACACGTTTTGAAGAGACTTTGACCTTTAAATGAATAACAAGCTAAAATGAGTGTAATATACCTTAAACCTTAGGGAATTATGTGCCACAAAATGGTCCCTGAGTAATAAATTCGAATGGTCGAGCATGCATTTTCATAAATTTGAATATAACATGTATACCTAATTTAGTGCTAGGGTGGCATTAATAAATGAAAGATAATTATTGTGAATGACAACCAATAAAAAAAATTAAAGTACACATAAAAACCCAATGACGATTTTTTATGACAGTAAGTTTGATACGTATATTCACAACGAAATGAGTTTGTGGCCATAGTAGCAGGCCACCACGAGTATGCACACCATTTTGGTGCATCGCGATTGATGTGATAATGCTCATAAATATTTTTTATTCTTTTTATTATTTCTTTCTCTTCTTCATAGTGTGATGAGTATACCAACACTACATATGGTGGTGTTATTTGCCTAGGGGAATGAAACCATGGCCATGGCCATGGTTTTTATTATGCAATGTTAAATTTTTAATTTTTGTTATTCTATTTTAATTTTAATAATATAATTTTATATTTTCAAAATCAGTGAACTGTTTTTACGTTTACATCTTATATAAATCATGTATTTAAACAATAATAGAATAAAGTAATATAGGTGATGTGAAGTAAAATGTATTTCTTAAATATATGGTGTGAAAATAAAAATAATATAACATTATATGAAAATATTTTTTTGGAATGAATGTGATATAGATATATATACAACATACCCCATGGTCTAAATGAGACAATTATTACAAGTTTTTTTTTCTTCCAAATTTCTAAATTTTATTCCTTAGTTAATTAAGTTTTTTCCTTTTATTTTAATGTAAAGTTAAATAAAAGTATTACAATATAATCGATTTCTATTCATTTAATTCTGATTGATATAAATCTCCTTAAAAGTCTTTAAATATTAATTAAATTATATTTGTCATAAAAAGACTCATAAAACACATTTGTAAAAACATGATCATTAAGCATAAAAATCATTTCATCATAGTTAAAGAATCCACGTTAAAATATATAGAAGTTTTTTTCATGATTTTTTTTATATAAAAAAACTTAAAATTCAAAAATTTATTGCATCTCTCGTAATAGAAAAACTTTTTCATTTTGCTTATTATTACTAATTTTTAAATGTTGTATACTATGAATTGGTTAAAAATTTATAGATCCTATACAAAACAAAAAAAAAAAAAATGAAAAAACTTTTAGCCGTCGCTTGTTATTTTACAATCTTAGCCAAAAATCTTTGAATCAAACAATCTCTAAATATAACTTTTCCATTTTTAATTTTTTTTAAATATTAAAATAAACTCCTGTTCTAATTTCAAAAGCTCAACCTCATAAGCTACACTCCAACCTAACAAAAACTTTTCATTCACCTCCTCCAACACTCATGATAAGATATGCTTCTCACTGTTGGAAAAAGAGACTTTAACACAAAATTTAGCAATGAATATTTTTTATCTGACAGAAAATTACTGATTTTTAACAGAAATGTGACAGATTAATGGATTATGTATATGCTAAGAGATATAACCTTATTTACACATTTATTTTAGTCCATTATCTTAATGAATCTTATCCAGGAATCAAAATTCTCCATCAATGATTTCAATAAAATCCCCTAATTTCAATAACAACAAATCCCCTAATTTCAATAGCAAGAAAATGAAGACATATATCAAAAGATGCTCATTAGCATAGTTTGATCGAAAACTGCAAAAACACATCCAAAAGGGATGTAAACTTGAAAAGTATATAGTGAGTACAACATTAGCAAATGGTTCACTCTTAGGAACAAAAAAACAAAACAACAAAATAACATTTTTGGTCCAAAAAATATAGTCAATTTCTTGGAACACAGACAAAAACGTTCACAAACATTAAAATAAGAACCAAACATGCAAACATATATTTTTTGGGACAAAAACTGAAAGAATCGGCTATACTCAACGTTCACAAATGTAATTTACTGCAATTTCTATAATTTGATAAAAAAAAAATGGCAAACATTATTGCACCATTTTGATCGCTTCACCAGCCATAGTGATTGACGACGAAATGGAATGCGACTTAAGCACTCATAATAAATCAAAACACAACACAACAATCAGGTTTTCATAATCTATGTAATAATAACTATTAATGACGTTAGAGTTATATTAAAATTATGTTGTTATGGAAAAGCTTGGTATCGATTCAAATATTAATAGACTAAACATTCACATTGAATATAACAATGCACGAAATAATTGTGATCCGCTTGATGATAATGATTTACCTAAGAAGATTAGAAATATTTTCAAACTAAAATACATAACTTTTGCTACTTTTTTATAGAGCCCAAAATAGTTCTTCAAACAAACAGGAACAATTTATGTTGTGCAAGATATAAATGGCAAATATGTTGGTTTTTTGTCTAAAAATACTAAATATATGTTTTACCAGATTTCATAAATAAAATGAATAATCGTATATATTTTGTAAGTCAATAACCAAGTATATTGCTGATCTCTTGCAATTTACAGGAAACAGACAACTGATTTATGGAATTAGGAGATGCCATGTAGATGAAATGCACTCTTTATTAGATAGAAAGATAAGAAAACGTTTGATACGTTTTTTAAAGAATTTAAAATTCTGAAAGTTTGTATTTAAATTACATGTTATAGTTTGATTTTCTTTGTTTTGCTATGGAGAATCTGTATCCTTTAATTTCTTTCAAACCCACTCTAAAATTTTTGCATGAACTAGAATAGAAATTGCAAAAGTATTTGAAGTTACCAAAAAAATTTTGGACTTAGCATGCGCCAATTTCCTATGGGAGTTAATCATTTTATTGTCTTGTCAAACAACTCAGATATCTAGGGTTTCCTGCTTTTCTTTTGAATAGACTATCGTTTGTTTTGAAAATTTGATAGGTCATTTATTAAGCAGCAACTAAAATGTGAGGATATATGTGTAAATTCAGTAACTGAAACTTGGTTGGGATTAGGTTACACAATTTGCAATGCATTCGCGAGATGTAGCCGGGATACGTCCAACAACACTTGTAAGTGCTTCCTGTTTAAGGTATTTGCATTACTACTATTTTGTAAAATTTTGAATTGGCTAACATTCTTATTTGGTGAATGGTATTGGAATTTTAGACTATCAATATGCTAGGGAATCCAAATGCAGTGGGTTTCACTGTAAAATTTTAATTTTTTAGTCTCAAGGCAAACAAATATCTAAAGAAATGAAGTTAGATTTCACCATACAGTTTCTATTAACGTTGATTGAAACATGGGATGCTTATATGAAAATAGAAAGAGCTATAGGATTAAAAAAATCCAAACCCAAAATCTATTGTTTTTTAAAGGTAAACTTATATATGCTCCACGATAATAACTTTAATATTATGACAACAATTTTACAGGTTGGAGTGAGAAAGTTCGTGAATAACAATAGCCCTTAAAAATTTAGACCTTGCAGCAACAACCTAATCATCAAACTCCCTTTCACTCTCCATTCTTACTGCTCGTTCCTCTCCTACCCGTAAAAGCCCTATTAAAGTTTAAAATAAAATAAAATTAAAAAAATTAGCTATACAATTGTATTATAGATATGCCTTTGATTCTTCTTAACACGTTTACAAAACCAACTGAAACCAAAAGGAAATCGTACTATAAATAAAAAGCACCTGTAAGAAATTAAAAAGGTTAGGTTTTACCTTAGAAAACCAATCGAAGCATCTGTTGCAGGTCCGACGATGTTGATGGATTAATAGAAGGAGGGGGAGGTAGAGGTTTTCTTAAAAACCCGATTCTTGGCTAGAGACGATTTCAGTAGCAATATAGAAGACGGGTGGGTACGATTTGTGTAAAAAAGCATCCGAAAATAAATCCTTCGTAGATAGGTAAGATGGGAAGACAATGGAGACGATGATGGACCACGCAATCACCGCTAACTGCCCGGGCGGTGATGGATAAGTCGAAGCTGAGATAAGGCGGTGGAGAATCTTCTCGCGGTGGAAGGAAATGGGGAGGTTTTAATTGATGTACAAACGGAGAGAAAAGAGAGAGGGGTGAAACATGAGGCGGTGGAATAAAGAGAAATGAAGGAACCGATAAAAATATACGCGTGTATAGGTGAGATTAATCAAAGTGAGGTGAGTAAGCAAGGAGATGATGTAAAGGAAACAAAAGGAGGAAGACACATATGGTATCTGTCAGTTGAAACTGGCAGTGGTGGAACAAAACAATGTTCTACAATTGGAACCAGGGAGTAACGACACCCAAAGAAGATCCGGCGATTTCGGAATTTCAAAACTTTTCCGGCGGATCCAAACGCCGACAAGGTGATCGGTGGGTCGATTAATCAATTCAGCAGTCTTAAATCTCTTCCTTTTATTCGGATATTGGCCAATTGAAACTCCAATATCAATATGGGGTCAACTTTTGTAGATCGTTGGCAGCCTAAGGAATCAGGGTCCAAGAAATCAGGATTGCAACGCTCACATATGTTCAGGAGTGGGAATCAGGAATCAAGTAAGAATGTTTCTTCATTTTATGTTACTAATTTCCCAGAGTATGTAATAAAAATAGTGACGTATGGTGTATGTGTAATCGTCTTGGCAAAGTGGTAGACTTATTTATTTCTAATAAGAAATCTCGATTGGGAAAACGTTTTGTTTTTATACGATTTGCGGATGTGAATGATCCTGATCGTATGATTAGAGACCTATGTGGTATTTGGTTTGGGTATCATAAACTCTTTGCTGCTGTACCAGGATTTTCAAAAAATTCTAAACCTCATGCACCCCATGCAACAGAAGGGAATTCTAGGGTAAAAGAACAAAATGGTTAGTCATTGTTGTAAAGGGAGTCAGGGGTAAATTTACCCCAAAAAGTGAGGATGAAATAGTTTAACTCTTTGCAGGGGATTTTATTGTGGAAAAAAGACATCGAGCTTGCTTCATTAGGGGTAGGGATTTTCTTACATTGCCTAATCTTCGAATGCTATGTTATGATGAAGGATTTGAGGATTTCGACATATGTTATTTTGGTGGATTATGGGTTATGCTTGAATTTAAACATGAAGTTGCGTGAAAAAACTTCCTTGCAAGTGATGTTATGTATCATTGGATAGAAACTTTGTGCCTTTAGACCATTTGATTTGGGTTGAAGTTGAAGGATTACCTCTATGGGTTTGGAGTAAACAAGCATTCAAATTTTTTTTTGGCTAAGTGGGGAAATATAATACATCTAGATGATGATTTGGGAGAAGGTGTATATAAAAAAGGATTTGTATTCTTTCCTCAGTCCAAGAGATTATTTCAAAGACTGTGACAGTTAGCATCGATGGCCAATTTTTTTTGGCTAGAATAAAGGAAGCACCTGGGTGGACACCAACATTTGCTTGGGAAAATAATAAGACTAGCAATGACCGATCCAGTGAGAATGGTAATGGATTGGAAGATCAAGATGATATTTTACAATGTGGTTAGGAAGAGGGGTCATTGGACCCGTTTGGAATTTATGAAACACTAGAAAAAATGAATGGGGATGAAAGAAATAGGAAAGAAGTCAAATCAGATGCCAGTTATGAAGAGATACGGGGTAATGATAGCAGCAAAAATCCTAGACATGAAGAAGGGCAATCTCGAAATTCACATGAAAAAATAGAGGAGCAGAATTTTGTGCCTAATAACAGGTCACCTAATCAGATGCATGAGGTTGAACATTGCAATGCTGCTAATCTCCATTAGCATTTGAAGGTTGGTCAGCCTTCACAATAGTGCCCGCCGACCACTGTTTCGTTTCCAACAGGTGCGCCGGCCAGAAAAAGCAACCCGACAGCAGGTCCGACCCCCTCTGCTGCCTCGACTATGTATTTCGTCCAACTGTTTCTAATCCAGAAAGGAAGGCTAATCATACTAATGCTCCAATTGGTTTTTCGGGAGGGTTTGGACGGGTTTCGGGTGTTGTTGACTCAGAAGATGAACTAACCCATCCTCCAGGCTTTTCAAATTGTAATAGTTTTGTTGTTTGTTCGGATGATTCTTATAATAAAGGTTCTTTCTTAAGTGAGATTCAAAAAACAATGGAGATGGGAAAGGCAATGGGATACGATTTGGAGGGATGCTATGACCTGGTAAAAGAAATCGTTAAAGGTAATGGATAAAAAATGGTGTTGAGATGAATTGTCTCTCCATCAACATTCATGGAGCGGGCTGTAATGACAAATGGAGTTGGGTACGTAATTTATGTATTAAACAGAAGGTTAATCTGTTGTCTATTCATGAAATGAAGATGGAAGATGTTGATGTTCCTATGGCTCGGTCTTTTTGGGGTAACAATTCTTTTTCTTATGTTTTCTCTCCTTCTCATGGTGCTTGGGCTGGTATTCTTTTTCTTTGGGATTTGGATTCTATCTCTCTTCAATCTTCTTATATTTCTAATTATTTTACGGTTATTGAGGTTATGTGGTCTTCTTCGGGATCGTCGATCATATTTATTGTGGTTTATGCTCCGCAAGGGGTGGAACCTAAGAGAAATCTTTGGGAGAAGCTTCTCCAGCTTATTTTTTCTTTCCAAGGAGAATGTGTATTGATGGGCGATTTTAATGAAGTTTGTGATGAATCGGAAAGACTATGTACTATGTTTAATTCCAATACAACTCGGAGATTCAACAATTTTATTGAGCATGTGGGTTTATTTGATGTTGCACTTGGAGGCCCTCAGTTTACATGGAGTGATAAGTGGGGTTCAAAATTTAGTAAGCTGGATAGATTTTTAACAACCCGTGGTGTTTTGGATGCTTTTCCTCATTTGATATGTATGGTTTTGGAAAGTAGATTCCGGATCATAGACCTATTTTGTTATCAGAGCACAGAGTTCATTATGGGCCTACTCCCTTCTGTATCTTCTATTCTTGGTTCAATTTGGAAGGGTTTGATGATGTAGTAAGAAATTCGTGGTCTCAAGAATAGAATTTACTCAAGGTTTCTCATCCTTGGGTTAAATTAAAAAAGAAGCTCCAACTCCTTATGTAACATCCCAAAATACGACCCAAATTTTTTTGTTTAATAATTAATAAAAACATCATGTCAATATCATAAAATAAAACTCATACGTCAATATCTCAAAACCATAACAAAATATCACGAGAAAACTGTATCAAGAATGTATCAAATCATATCTATGAAAAGCTAAATCATCTCCCAGGACAACTGAAGTTGTGGTGTGTGTGATGCCATCAACCCGAGTTCTTCCCTTTACTTGCGGAAGTACTTGAAACCAAAACTGAAACTGTAAGCACAAAGCTTAGTGAGCTCCCCCAAACTACCACATACCATACAATAACGTATAACACATACTGGGCCTTGCCCACTGCATCAGACCGAAGTCCAAAAACTGCATCGGACCGAAGTCTGGAACTAACCAAGGTCTTGCCCTCTGCATCGGACCGAAGTTCGGGACTAACTACATCAGAACGAAGTCCGGAACTGACTGGGACCTTGTCCCCTGCACCGGACCGAAGTCTGGAACTAACTGCATCGGACCGAAGTCTGGAAACTGACTGAGCATAACATAGCGTAGCATAAACATATCAACTAGCATGAACACATAAACTGCATATTGCATCGGGTCGTAGCCCGGAACACATAACACATAAACCATATCTGAGCCACGATGTGACATCCCCAAAATCACGGCCAGAAAAGACCGGTTTTGTTTATACTTTATTTCAAAATCAGAGTTATCTTTTAATAAAAGGGTTGCGGAATTTGTCCCAAAACAATAATATGATAAAGATTTATCAAAAGCATTTCCATAGAAATGTATTTCATTAAAAGACTCGGGATGTCATGTTCGTACAGATCAAAAGTATAAACAGTACAATATAAGCCTTACTACATTATTTCATATCTACAGGCCTATATCCGTAATCCCTCGTCCAAAACATCACACCTATGCTCATGCGCCACTACCTGTAATGCATAAAACTGAGTGGGTCAGGCTTGGGAGCCTGGTGAGCACATAGGGTTTTCAACCCACAATAAGTTTATTAATTTCATCAATCAACAATAACCCGATTACCCGTTCCCGTTATCCTCACTTTACGTCCCTAAACACCTATCATAAGGGACCTAGCCTAAGGATCATCATCGGGACGGACACTACTGCTAAGGGGATTCCTCAGCAATAAATGTCCTAATAGGCAACCATGTGGGGGATGGAGTACACCGGTGAACACATCGTTCACAACACCTACAGGTTGCGAGCCTGCTAGTGTTCCACTGGACTGTCTAGAAGAGTCCGTGGTCGTCATCTATACTCCGCTAGATGACTGGATCAACAACAACAACATCGAGGCCTCTCATCATTTTATCACACATCACCTATTACATCTACCCATGTTTTACCCCAACATTTTCGTAGATATAAAATACATATACAGTTTAAATCATTGAAAACATGTATAACAACGTTCATCTAGCATAGATAGCAAGTATTCAGATAATATGCACACATAGCACGTAATTTATATAAAATACTTCATATCTATGTGTAAGTTGAAGGTAACTATGCACTCACCGGAAAAGGTGGTGATTCCGAACTCAGACAGCGCTTCGCTTCTTAAAAAGAATTTTTCTTCGACGAAACCTAGTATTATTACCACTAGAGTTTAGTTTATTATTCGTCGAGACTAATTAATAGTCTAGCTATTATTATTATTATATAAGCGTCAAAAAAATACTTATATAACCCATAATAATAGCCCAAGTATTTATTATAAGTTCCTAATAACGTTACTATAATTAAATAAAAGTTATATTAAAAATAGCGTAGGCGTAGCTCACTTACAGCGGGTTTTATAGAAAACCGGGCTTTGCTTGGAGCAGCGTTCCCGAGCCGAAAAGCTCTTCTTCTCAGAGCCTTCGAGCACTCCGGGGCTTCCGCCTCGTGCTAGGGAGGTTCCCTAGGCTTTTCGGGGGATTTCGGGGCTAGAGAGAGGTTCTAGAGAGAGAGAGAGAGTAAAGAGAAGAAAGAATGGGAAAGGTGTGAAGAAAATGAGGGTGGGAGAGGTGGTATTTATAGGGTGAAATGTGGCTGAACTTGGTGCCACATGTCACCATCTGGTGGCAAGCCTTGGGGAGAAAGCAATGGCCAAGATTGTGCCACATCACCCATTTTCGCACAGCACACTTCCGACTTCTAAAATCCGTAACTTTCACATACGACCTCCGTTTTTGACGTTCTTTATATCCACGCGTAGGTAATAATAAGATCTACAACTTTCATTTTGACACCGTCAGCTAATTCTCGACCGATCTTAAATTTAACAGTACAAGGAGATTATACTGTTAAACGTCTGCGTAAAATTAATAACTTCTACATACGGACTCTGTTTTTGTCTGTCTTTTTACCGTTGATTTCCTATTAATGAGATCTTCAACTCTCATTTATGTTGCGTAAGCCAAAAACCGCTCGAACTAAAATTCGAGTTTCAGGCCGTGCACTGCTAAGCCGAATCTTAGAAAAATCATAACTTCTTCATACGAAGTCAGATTTGGGCGTTCTTTTTATCGATGTTCTTAGTTTAACATATTCTACGACTTTTGTTTAGATTGCTAAGGCTAAAAAGTCTTCTATCGTAAATTCACTATTTACGTTCCCGGTGTCGTGCCGGTTTTGTCGTAAAACTTCGGCGGGCCATAACTTCTTCTTTATCGGATTTCGGCATTCTTTATATGCACGGAAACCTTGAGACATATTCTACAACTTTATGTAGAGATATCGGGATTATCTCACACTTTAATTTTGACGCTCATTTTTATTCTTTATTAATTATACATTTATAATTAAATAATAAACACATAAACACACATAATTCACATAATACTCAAATATTTCATATTTATTACTTCAAAAAGAGTTACAATAGTTGACCTAGACTATTACATTGACAAAAATGCTTAGCCCTGAAAACCCGGGCGTTACAATTCTCACCCCCTTAGGATGATTCCGTCCCGGAATCATGCATCAGCAAACAGATGTGGATAGCGACTCATCATGTCATCCTCTGTTTCCCAAGTGAGATTCGGCCCATTCGAATGTTTCCATCGGACTAGCACCAAGTCGACCATCTTGCGTCGTAACTTCTTAGTCTTACGGTCAATAATTGCCTCAGGCTCTTCGATCAGCCTTTTATTCTCATCCATCCTTAATTCCGAGATTGGAATTATGTCGGGAACATCTCCCATGAATTTCCTCAAATAACACACATGGAAGGTGTTATGAATACCATTGAGTTCTTCGGGCAATTCCAGCTTGTAAGCTTGGTTCCCAATCCTCTGAAGAACTTTGAATGGTCCAATAAACCTTGGACTCAACTTTCCTCGTTTCCCAAATCGTATAAGTCCCTTCCACGGTGAGACTTTAAGTAAAACGGAATCCCCAACTTCGAAGGTTATCGGTCGTCTTTTCTTGTCGGCATAGCTCTTCTGACGATCCTGAGCTGCTAACATTCTTTCCCTAATCACCTTCAATTTCTCAGCAGTCTCATGGACTATCTCGGGGCCCATAAACTGCTTCTCTCCGGCTTCAAGCCAACAAGACGGCGTACGACACTTCTGCCCATACAAGGCTTGATAAGGAGCCATCTTGATGCTCGAGTGAAAACTATTGTTGTAGGAAAATTCTACCAGAGGTAAGTGCTCGTCCCAATTCCCTTGGAATTCGAGGGTACATGCTCTCAGCATATCTTCCAACGTCTGAATCGTTCTTTCACTCTGACCATCAGTTTGCGGATGGTAAGCAGTACTCAAACACAACTTTGTACCCAACTCCTCTTGTAGACTCCTCCAAAACCTCGACGTGAAACGACTATCACGATCTGACACAATCGTAAGAGGGACACCGTGAAGTCTTACAATTTCCTTCACGTAAGCATTTGCGAGCTTATCCATAGACCACTTCTCGTTGGCTGCTATGAAGTGTGCACTCTTGGTGAAACGATCCACGACTACCCAAATCATGTCGTGACCATTCTTCGTTCTGGGCAGTTTAGTCACAAAATCCATGGTGATGTCTTCCCATTTACCCATGGGTACAGGTAAGGGTTCTAAACTCCCATACGGTTTTTGATGTTGTGCCTTAACCCTCGCACATGTTACG